ACACACACACACACACACACACACACATTATCCGTTTAGTCTCACACAGACTAAAAAAAAACTTGTGTTCATCTCAACACCTCCAAGGATTTTCTCTGTGGATCAGTGAAGAAGAAGACAGTTCAAGGAGGAGGACAGCAGGCAACAAAGGAGCAATATCAAGAAGAAACTTCTTCAGATGTGGACTTTATAAAAGCGCAGACGGACTGAACTGACAACTAAAGACAACAACTGGAGAAACTTTGCCACTTTTGTTGCTTTTACAAAAGGAGGCCCGCAGTGAGCCCACAGTGGAAACTGGCTATCAGTGACATCCAGAGGATCTGCTGCTGGCGCTGTTGCCCTCCCTTCTCTCCTCAGGACTCCCACCCTCCACAGAGACAACTCTTGATCATCAGCATGCCTGCAGCCTGCGCAATGTGCACCTTGGGAGCCTGACCCACCATGTGCAGATGGACGGCACATCTCTGTCCTCAACCTGTCCTTAGCACCACCACTGTTGCTGCCCCCACCGGGCCCTTTGTCCCCCTGCCCAGCTCGGCTTCTCTTACCCTGATATGCCTCACCTTGCTCCTGGTCACCGCTGGCAGTGCCACAGGGGCCTGTCCCCCTTCTCGCACAGGGCATGAACCCCTTCAGGTCCTGGGGAGTGGCACAAACTGTTCCTGGACACTGGAAAGGCACACTCGCAGTTATAATCACTTAGAAGGTGATGTCAGACTGCGGCGACTTTATTCTGCCAATAAGTTCTTTCTCTGCATTGACAAGACGGGAAAGGTGGATGGCACCCGGCGGAAAAGCTACGCTGACAGTAAGTGAGCTGACAACGCATGTTGCGTATCTGAAATGAGTGCAAAAGGTGCTTTGTGGTGTTGTTGCTTTTATTTTTATGGCTGAACTTTGTTATCTCTTTGCTTTTAGAGCAGTTCATTGGGATCTCCTGCCATGCCTGTTTGTGTTGTGCTTAGAGCATGAGAGAAACGTTGCTAAGTTAAAAGGGAATAACCATGTGTGGATAATGACTAATGGGACAGTAGACACTAAGGAAAGACACTGAGCATCAGTGGGTGGTGTACGTTGGGCTTTGGGGAGCAAAATTGTCTCAGTTTTGCTGGTGACAGCGCATCTGTCTTRAGAATAGCAGGTGCAAACTGAAACATTTTTTTCATCCTCTCTGTATACATGTTCTGGTTTGTTAAAATGTGCAGATCAGTTAGTTGGGTGTGTACACGGCAGCTCTTTGTGCTGCTTTATTCTGTGTATGCCTTGGAAAACTGGTTTATACATGGTCTGTGGGTCAAAGACTTTTACAAAGATCTAATATTTCCTACATGTTCATCAGTGGACATCTTTCAGATCCGTGACTGAATCAGATGAAGTCACAGTTCGTCTTTGATTGTTCTTACTTTWTTTTCCATGTATCATCTGGAGGTTAGACTAAATTTGTCCAAATTATTAAAAAAAAAAATCTTTGATGTTAAGGATGATGCAGTAGCTCTATGAAAATGGAGCTGCACACCAAGCTAACAAACAAGAGATCATTTACCTTAAATTGATCAGTTTAGGTCCTGTTTGTCTGTGGTTGAGCCTCACGTGGTTTAGCTTTTGATCAAACTAGAAGCCACCTGAGTTTGGCCACATTATAAACTGGAGTGGGATAAACGGGATATTTTGCATATACAGTAATTCCTAATGCAGTGACACTGAAATGAAACTGACATTGGTAATAAATCTCACAACGTAGAAAAGTTTATAGAAATCCAAATTTATTTTTATGTATGTATCAATAT